GAAGTGTTCGGCACAACCCAATAATACTACTATACAGTAGCCGTCGTGTTCAACTGGCAGGCTGCCATTGGATAGTCTTTTAACGCTGCGCACAGTTTGCTCATATTTGCACAAACCGCTGTTGCGCAATCGGGGTACTTTGTTAGCTTGTACTCATTAAGATTGCCGGCACTCATCAAATCGAGCATGAAACAGCGCATATGGAGAGCCGGAAGGTTATGTTATTTAGCTAAGCTTCCGGAGATCAAGCACCGGTGACAGTAACTGCTGCCCTGGCGCGCTATCGAATTTTGTCAAACGGTGCATTGGTGGCTGTATTTGCATTTTGGTGATTTCACCGAAATGCATCAGCGCATTGGTTGTCTTACCGTTTGGCCCGCATTTGCGAATGTAGGTCCATGTGGGGAAATATCTCGCTGAAGAGCTCTGGTGGCAGATGACACAGACGAACAGCCGCGGAACATACCTTGATTTCCGCATCTAAAAAACAACGAAAGTCTCAGTCTAGGATTGCTACGATTGTAGGAATGCGTCCTCAATCCTGATAATGTGGCTCTACAGTGTCTCAGACCTCCTGCGAGCCGATTCCGCACAAAAATCACTGGCAGATGAACCCGGTTGGTCAGATGTGTCTCCAGCACCTGCAGCAACGCCGCTGCCCAGTGCTTCACTATCTCGGCATCCATTGCCAGACTCATGACAATAAACACACATTCCTCCCGTTCCATGCGCAGGTGAAAGCGACAGCAGTCAAACATGCGATAAAACACGCGAAAAAGCGCCCTATCCGAATATTTCCTTTGAAATTCCTGGCGATAGTGCGTGATGATGCGGAATGGATCCGCGGTATCACGGAGAACCATGTGAGCTCGCGGAAACGGTAGGACAAATTTGGTGCAGTGCAGACGTTGATTAGCGCTGCTGGCGTCCAGTAAGGGTAATTCGAGCAGTGAGGAGCCAATTGGCGGTAACTGCTGGCTAATCTGACAGTGGTGCACTAATGCGCGAGGCCCACTGCGTCGCCCGTAGTCTGTGGCGGCCGTATCGGTTAGGACCGGGAAGTTGACACACTGTTCACAGCCGCGTATCATTCCAATCGGGTGTGTCACCGGTCGGAAGCGAAACGGCCCGTCGTCTTCGTCACGGAGTGCGCATAGATGGGCCGACCGTCGGTATCCCGGGGTACCCAGTCGTCCCGGAGGAGGGGCAGCGGCCAGACGCGTCCCTTGTGGACCCAACGGTCCGTGACCTTTTTGGCGTCGAAGTGGATGAAGACCCGGTCGGCGTCCATATCCTGAATGTATCCCAACCACCAACTGTCGTCATCGTTGCGGACCGCCACCGTGTTCTGGTAACTCATCTGGTTGGCTGCGACCAAGAGCGGCCGGAACTGTGGCATCAGCAATGGCGCAAACTCCATGTTCTACTAGTGTTGCCAGATACTCTGAATGTTTTGTTGGGATGACCGTGCAGGCACCTAATTAATCCAGGCAAACTTAGCTTGGAGTAGATGTATGGTATCCCCGCGTCAGTAATCTGTGAAACTGATAAGCAGATTGCTCTATTTTTCCTTCTTGTTGTAGTAACTAACGATGCCAAGCTCTGACCATGAGATGCCCAATGTTCAGTACAAAAAACTGGGTGTGGTTGGCAACTTGATTCTGCAATAGAATCGCGTCAGAGAAGGTTTTGCTGAGTCAATATGCAGTAAAAATGCAGCGACAGATGCTATGACCTATGAGTCGCCTTTGCTTACCTGTTAAGAAGAAATCCTGTCGTTCAGTTTGTTCATCTTGCTCTGGGTATTCACTATTCGATCCGTTATTATTTTTATCCGCCTTTCTTGGCTTAGTATATCCTAATGGCTTTGGATTAATGCATTGCTGAGTATCTAAACCGAGCTGTTTTTGAAACAACTAGCCGAATAAAGCGATTGCAAAGTATGGCTGGGTTTTAGGCGCCGTACGGATCTACCGCCTTTCCTCTATTAATTTCTCTGCAGCATGCGAGTGTTAGAGCTGCCCTACTAACTAGCATAGCCAGCCTGCCCTATTCTGCGACGGCCTGCCGGTCTCCTAACGATTTCGTGGAGGACGGCGTACTTTCCTCGATTGCATTCGCGCAGAGAGCAAATCAGACGGGTGTTGAGATTTGTGTCTAGCATTTTGCCTTTAACACGCGGATCAGTATTAACAAGTTGTTCATTGACTGCTGAGTGTGACCTGCCGTGTTGTCGAATTGCATCGATATCGTTTATTAAAAAAAAACGTAATGCAAATGCAACGATTAGATCAGGTACGTTAGAAGTATCCGCGAAGTTACAACCCGACTGAATCCACCAGAATGAAATGCTAGCGATAAAATAACAATCTGCTGTTGTTGCGTACTAGGTCACAATGAACTCTGGGCTAATGCCTCCTTATGAGCGGCTGCTGGTGGATGCCGACCAACTGAGCTACCAGAGCACCGTGGCGGTGAGCAACGAGGACGGAGCATACTGGCTGGGCCACCTTCAGGACATCGTGGGGGACCGCGCTTTCATCCACTTTGCCTGCGGAAAGGTCCCCGCCAGTTGGATTCATGCGGGACGGGTATGGCCGTTAGAGTTCCCTGGGTATATCGGTAGGCTCGGTACGCCAGCACTAGCAGCGCTGCGCGACGAGCACGACGGGCCATTCCGCTTTTGCCCGGTCATTATACTGAATTTTATTGCCCATGACGTGCTGGTGGCGCACGACGCCAGAACGGCTACTCCCGACGCCCGGGCTGAGTCTCCCAGGACGCGGACTGAACTGGTGGATCGATGCCAAGTTGTCGCGCCGCACGCCTTTGCCGAGCCGGCGCTGTTGTACCGCCAGAGCCGGTGGATGTTCCGTAAGTATTTTGTCCCGTTTGCCAGGGCACGAGAACTTCTACGCGACGCCGCCGATAAGTGGCGTATCATCAAGCACTTTTACGGCGTTTTTCATGCGCTGCTCGGAACACAACATCTGCACAGTGACCGCTTCCATTGTCGCATTGAAGCGGACGGATGTTCCTTCGTCGTCAGCAGCAGCGGGGCAGATGAGCAGCAAACGGTGGCAGCACTGTTAAAAATGCTGCAGGCACATTTGGACTCCCGGGCTGATCTACTGCCGGTCGGTTTCGCCGATCTGTGCGACAGCAGCGCACCCTATGGTAAATGTCTGTAGGCGTTGTTCAAAACCAACTTGCTGAAATCGAAATCTAGCTAGTGCTAAAGCTGTCAGAGCATTAGTACTTGTGGACTCCGGCTGATTCCTATCTGTCTTTTTCAGATGTACAAATATACCCACCGTTTGATGCCACTGTGATTAGTCACCTGCCGCTTTCACTACTGTGCGAGATCTTTACGCATCTGGACCTGCATACGTGTATGAAACTTAAACGGTAATAACGAGTCTTAACAAAAGTTTGACTTATTTATATTGATGATTTTGGTGATTTTGGCATGTGCCTTCTGCGCAGAGTGTGTGCATTATGGGTGTTGCTGCTGGAGCGTCCTCAGGTGACTGAGCATGTCAGCATTTGCTTGACAACCTGCTCTCGTGGCAAGCAGTCACCCAATCCGAACATCTATAAAGCCGCGTCCCTCCTCAGCCGCACGGTCAACGCCGCCACCAAAAGCCTCACGATACTGCACCACTCCGACTTCCACTCCGATTTGTGCCGTCTTCTGGTAGCCATGGGAATCACGGTGCCGATGATCATCTTTAAAGACTACACGGTTACCGGCGGGTATGCTCCCGGTCCGATTCTGTACGAGGAGCCGTTTCGCTTTAACTGCACACTGGCCGAGCTGCCGGCTATCTTCAGCGACTGCTGTCAGCGTGTGGTGCTGTACAACTGGACAGTGTCCAAGATATTCGGCAGTGCCGCTTATGAGCTGCTGTTTTGTTCGCCGAACCTGAACACACTGTGGGAGTTTACGGCTCTGCCTCGCGGTGAAAAGAAGTGGATGACACGTTTGACGTACGAGTCGAAGACCAGCGTTCTCGCCGCTGATGCTCTGCATATCACGATTCCGCTGCTGATGCTGCACAGCCGTGATGGGCGACACCACATGATGCGGCGATTTATGTGGGGTTTGGACAAGAACTTCCCGCCCGTCACGGACGACATGTTGACCAAGGTCAAGGCCGTGCACGCTCGCTGGATACGCATTCTGCAGTATCCGCATCAATGGGATACGATTCGTGCTTATCTGACAGTGTAAGTGGTTGCGCTGGAGACTCCGCTAGCGTTATGTGTTGACGGTACTTAGCTGAATCTTGCGTAGAAATTCCCAACTGGATTTTGAGACTCTGGTTAACAAAACACCCTTTCAACGACTGCCTGATATAGACACGTACTGATAAACGCAACCACATTAAGTAGCTTCTTAAAACGTGGTATAAAGACCACTGGAAAAGTTTCCCAAAAGTGCAGAACAAATGGAAGTATAATTCCTCTGCGAAGGAGAAAAAGATATGGCCCTTCAACCAGCTGTGATTGGTCTCGTTATTGTCATTTAATGCTGAAAGCATTAAATGTCGTTAACGCAGAGCTCTCGTAATGCTTGGCAACCAGTGATATTTGTTAAGGTCACAAGCAGAGCGAGTATTAATACGTCGTATGAAGTACAGCAATATTATAATTTTAAGACCTTTAACCATTTTGCGCACTAAAAATGGGTCCTACAACGCGTTCTTCAACCAAACCTAAAAAGAAACGTGTTGGGGTGACAAAAAAGAAGCCATCCGAAGAAGTCAACCGAACCTCTCCCGATTCTCTCCATCTTGCTGCTATGGAGCAAACGATTTCCCAGTTGCAAAGTCAACTGGCTGCCTTAACAGTGCCCATGGCTTCGCCCACAGCAGGGACGAGTGTCGCTGATCTTCCTCGCCGGTCAATACAACCCCCTTTCATTGACCTATCCCAGCCATCAGGTGGGTCACAGCGTCCTCCGTCATATATGGGCTTGCCCGCACTGGATCCGACTCTATCCAAGCAGCTGGCTGATCGTCGCTCGTTTATCCAGTTGCATAAACTGCAGCCTATGCATCGTGGTATCGATACATCATCGGAACCCAGCACTTATATTGCTGATTCGGAGGGCAAGCTTATTCCTGCAGCTTCAACCGCCAGCCGCAGAAAAATCGACAGCTTCAGTTCCTGGCTGGAGGCATTTTTAATTTTCATCCGTTATCGCATCTTCCATCATCCAGACTTGGCCCCGGGTTTTCTGGCTTACATTGATATCATTAGAGGTTTAGCATTAACACGACCTTTATTGATTTGGTTAGATTACGACCGCCGGTTTCGTGAAAGGATGACCTTCCCTGATGTGAATGAAACAGCTTGGTTTTCCGAAGATTCGTCCATCATGGCGGATGTGTTGCGTTCCATCCCTACTTTTCCCGCGGTTTAACAGCCACCTCCGCAGAACTTAAGTTTTACCTCATCACTTCAATTGCCGCCGCATCCCAATGCCGCTTTTAATCCATCTGCAAAGCCGCCCTACGGATGCTTCGTCTGCCGCGATCCGAATCATTACGCGACCTTTTGTCCTCAACGTGCAAAGCCTGTTATGTCAAACGCTCCATCTCAGCCATCCGCCTCTCGTTTAACGCAGCCCTTTCGCGGGCCCCGCGTTGCCGTATGCAGGGACTACAACGCGGGAAAGTGCCAGTCCCCATGCCCCCATCGAAGAATACATGTGTGCGACCAGTGCTTCGAAACCAGTCATACTCGCGAGCACCATACCGGTCCCAGTAGCAGCTAACCCATTTACGCCACTCCGCCCTTTTAAGTTCCTGGGTTATTTGCGTGAGTATCCTAATCGGGCAGCAGTAAACAGTTTCATTGCAGGATTGTTGTACGGTTTCGTCATCGGGTTTACCGGTTCTCAGCACTCGCGTTACACTCCCAATGCCCTGACAGCTCGCAACCATCCTGAGATTGTACGAAAGTACCTTGCCAAAGAAATCAGTCTGCGTCATACGCTAGGACCTTTCGATTACATTCCGCTGCCACATTTCGTCATTTCTTCTCTCGGAGTCCGACCTAAAAAGACCGGCGGAGCGAGACTAATCATGGATCTGTCTCGTCCTTTCGGCGACTCTGTGAACGATTCGATTTGTCAAAAAACCTGTTCAATGAAATTCTGTTCTGTAGACGACGCTGTGAGAATCGTTACGCGGCTCGGCAAAGGCGCGTTAATGGCAAAGATGGACCTCAAGCACGCCTTCCGTTTAATCCCGGTACACCCGGATGATTGGCATCTCCTGGGGTATTCTTTCGACAATAAATACTACTTTGATGTTGTTTTGCCTTTTGGCTGCCGTTCGTCTCCGGCGATATTCGATCGCATGGCTTCGCTTGTGCACTGGATTATCGTTCACGTGGGAAAGTTTGCAGATGTTTTACACTACATGGACGATTTCTTCTTTGCTGGTGTTTCTAACTCTCCGATGTGTAGACTCGCCACGGAACTGATGGCCATTCTGTGTCAGGATCTCGGTGTTCCTTTAGCCCCGGAAAAGACGGAAGGTCCGTCTGCCCAGTTGACCTTTCTGGGCATTTGCATTGACTCCGAATCTCAAACGCTCTCGATTCCTGCATCAAAAGTCCAAGAGCTCCAAAACGAGTTCGTAGTTTTCTCGGCCAAAACATCCTGCTGTAAGCGTGACCTTTTGAGTCTGATCGGAAAACTCAGTTTTGCAACAAAATGTATACCTGCCGGGAGAATTTTTCTACGTCGAATGATCGACACTTCGCTGTCCGTTAAAGATCTGCGTCAACATGTAACTCTTTCCCGTGAATTCCACGCAGATCTTCAGTGGTGGATTCGGTTCTTACCTCTGTGGAATGGTACAACTTCTTTTATCGAACCAAATTGGACTGACTGTGCTTCTCTGCAGATATTCACCGATGCATGTGGCTCTGGCTGTGGTGCAATTTTCGGTTGCCGGTGGTTTTATATCTCTTGGCCGGACAGCATCTTATGCGTCCAGCCGCATATAACCTGGTTGGAAATGGCGCCGATATTCTTTGCTTGTTCTAACTGGGGATCGCAGTGGCATGGCAAGCGGTTGACCTTTTTCACCGACAACCAGGCAGTGTCTCAAGTCTGGGCAAAGCTTTCTTGTAAGCATTCGGGGGTGATGGATCTCGTTCGTGCGATTCATTTTGAAGCTGCTCGCCATAATTTTCACATACGAATTAAATACCTTCCTGGGTGCGAGAATTTAGCGGCCGATGCATTATCCCGGCATGAGATGGTCAAGTTTTTTGAAGCACATAAGACAGCTTCTGCAGAACCGGACATGTTTACGCCTGATTTCTCAGCATTTCTTCCTACCTTGATCGGTTCTCAACGTTCACGCCGAAAGTAGTACTCAGAGCGCATAACCATTGGTTGGGTTCACAACTAGTAATCAATATTATGTTGCAGGATGCCCGTTGATGAATCAAGCGCAGTTTAACTGCACTATTACTTCGCTACTGCACGCTCATTTAGCCCCCTCAAGCCGTCAGGCATACGGATCTGCACTACGTTGCTTCAACAGCTTTTGTTCTACTTTCAAGTACATACAGATGCCCACGGATTCTCATGTCCTTCAGAATTTTGTAGCATTCTTGTACCAGAAAGGTCTTTCGTGTGCAACTGCACGGGTATACCTTTCTGCCGTTATCACTCATCATCTTTTAAACGGCCATCGCGATCCCTTGCCGGATAAGCGGTTTGTGGCATTCATGTTTTCTGGATGGACGAGAATCCGTGGGCAATCTGTCCGTAAACGCGATGGAATTACTTTGGACAAACTAGTCTTTCTCCTTCGTTTTATTTCTTCTCTCCCCATTCCTTCTTACACTATTGCAATGCTTCGGGCTGCCGTTACTGTATCTTTCTATGGTTTTCTTCGTGTTTCCGAGTTCTGTGCTCCCAAACAGACAGCCATTTCCCTGTCAACTCTTCTCAGATCTGATGTGGCTGTTTCAGCGCATGGTCTTCTTCTGACTCTAAAAATTTCGAAGTCTTCTCAGTTTGCTCCTGTAACAGTTCTGCTTCCTCCTCTGCGCAGTGAAACTTGTCCAGTTCTTAACTTTCGTAATTACTTAATATTCCGAGATCGCTTTCATACTTCCGTGTCTCCTTTGTTTATGTTTCATGATGGAGTTTTCCTAACGCGTCAGTATCTGACTACATTATTCAAGAGATGCCTCGGTCCTGAATACTCATGCCATTCCATTCGAATTGGCGCTGCAACTACAGCTGCCATCGCCGGAATCCCAGCGGATCAGATTCGAATGCTTGGCCGTTGGTCAAGCGATGCAGTTAATCGTTACATTCAGTCTGACACTCTCCTTATTTCAAAATTGCTTACTAATATGTCATCTGTACTGGCGGTTTAGTTTTTTTCAGTAAAATTGCCGTTTGTGTTTGGTTCCGCTCCGGGTTGGGGGTTGCGTTCCGCTTTGGGGGTGTCCGGCGCGGTTTGTGTTTATTTGCCAAGCGACCTGCGGTTGCCTTCCGTCGTCAGTGCACCGCACGGACATCGTGCGGCATAGACTACAAGCCCTGGCATCCTTTAAGCGGCAAAAGATGTCACTTCCGAGAACTCGATAAGCGTTAAATTTCTTTTAACGGTCGACCATCCCTCTTTTGCGCAGACTGTGGTAGGTCACCGTAGGTGGCTTGTATGTTGGATGTACTACAATTTGTTTATGGAATGTTTTGCTACTGACTCTCAGACGCTTTGTGTATAAGTGCCGCCGGGAAGATGGAGATACTGATGAATCGACTTTAAAATTAATAGCAGCCATGTGTGTTGTGCGCCTCACAAAGTTAAATTGGGCAGGTGTTCTCCGTTATCCACGTTGACGGCTGTTCATTGCAGATTTAGCGGGTTCCATGCCGATGGGACACCAAAAGCATGGGACGAGGACGCGGTGGATCTGCGAATGGAGGATGTGCGTACGTGGAGTCGCATGGCGCTGTATGGGCTGAACGATTTATTTCGCATCTGACCAATGCTGTCCTGTTAAAGAATGGCGGTTTACGGGTGCCTCATTCTGTTCTTTTATTGGCGTTTCATGCTTAAATTGCAGTTGTTTGCTTAATTTCTATACGCGCACATTTCTTTGGAAACTATTGACACCAAGTTTGTGCTGTATTGTAGCGATAGAAGTTGTACAACCATAAGACCACCCAGTTATGATTCATCATTGCGTTATGAATTTCTGTCCATTTTACCGGTTAGCTGTTCTTCTTTACAATTTCTACAATTCATTCTTGTCTCAGCTTGCTACAACTTGCGTCAGCTTGTTCTGCTTGTTAAACTCTTGCCTAAACGTTGCACCTTGTCTTGAATTGTTCTTGTCATTAAACATGCCGTGAACGTCCGTTGTTACGTTCAGTAATTATGTTACGTCAGTAAGAGCGTACACGACCGCGCCGTTGCTGGTCGTGCCAACCTTTCATCCCAACAGCCCACACAACATCGTGGTACGGTCAACACGCCAACCCACTAGAACAGCAGCCAGATCGGCAACTGTTACAGTATCACGGACTGTGCTGTGTATGTGTCTTACGTGTGCTGCTTACTGTGCTGTGCTGGCAGTGCTGCGTAAGATTTGTTCACAATACAATATTATAGAACAATAGAACATTATTTTCAGTGAATTTAAAGTTTCTAGTTAATTTTACTGATTGAACGTGTGCCAGCTGCTCAGTGTAAGTTGTACACGTAGGTTATAACTGGGAAAATGCAGCAGAAAATGCCAACCGCCATCTTCCTAGATAGGTTCTGTGTTAGCATTTTTCTCTGAGTGACCCAACGTTAGAAGAAAGGACCATTCCGTGGAGGAAGGGTGTCCGAGAAAATAGCGGTGCCTGTTGTCCGTAACTCTGGCGTAGTGTACAGCTACAGTGCCGCTTGCGCCGAGTTTTGTAATACAGCGAAGTGACCGTGTGCGCACAGTTTTCCCTTTTCTTTGATTCGCTTTTCCCCTCCCTTTTTTTATTTTTTAAAATTTCCCCAATTTACTGTATATATTGCGAATTGTATAAAAACTACTGTATGATTTGTACAAGTTGTATAACCATAGCAGGTGAAACACAAACAGCGATCTCATCATCAAAGTTTATAAAAGTAATTGTCTCACTACTCATAGTTAAAAATGGGTCAACAGATATTTCTAGTCGTCTGCGAGTGTAGATGGTTTCCGAATCTTTTTCATTGACGGTATCGTACCATTGCAAGCGATCCATCCATTTCAAAATTCCAGATCATCTCCTCCAGCGTAATCCCATGATGCTTTGCAAACTGCAGACCGTGTTCGTCAATTGTTGGAGAATTATCTACAATCAATAGTTTTCGAACCGTGTAATACCAAAATACAGTTTTACCGCTTTCAGACTGATACGCCTTGACCCCTTCCAGGCCAGGGTAACTGTGTTCTACCAATCCTTCATCCATTATTTGTTATAAATGTTTTTATATTCCGATTAATAATAAAACATAAGGCCCTACATGTTCGAGAGGTATTCCAAACTAGCAACGATGTCAGCTTGTCTGTCAATGCTCCGACTAGCTAAGACCGTCACTAATTTGGGGCAACGCCCTCTTTTTTTCTACTTTTTTGTACATTTAAAATACTGCTACACTAAATATATAGAGATGAAATATAACTAAGATAAGTCCGATATGGTGCCACACATGGAATGGAAGGCTGCATAATCCATTGGAATTTTCTTGTCGCTGGGGAGGTGGATCCAGACTTTATCCCGTTTAAAACATAAACGAACTGGCTTCCGCTCATTATCTTTAATACGATAGCGCTGTTTTTTGCCGGTATATGCTGACCGTACGAATAGACGTACGGTATCATGATTCTCATGCATGCTAACAAGTTTAGCTACTACAGAGTTATCCAGTTCTGCCGCAATTCGACAAACTGCAAAGTTAGACACATTATCGATGATGTAACCCAGCAAAACATGGTCATCCACTTTGCGGTACCCCAGACGCATGTCCCCGTCTACCTGAAACCATGATATATGGTCAGATTCACACAGAAACTGCAGTTCTCAGGAAATTCTGGTAACGGTTCCATTTTTACTGCGCATTACATATTCATTGATACCTATCTACCTTAGTGTTATTAAGCATATATTTCTCGCTTGACTTCTGTCACGGCCTTAGTGCTACGCAACGTACGGATGATCGTAGACATCTGTCATGACCTTTACCTATTAGAAGATGTGCTTGGCAAGCTCGGCACAGATGCTAACGATCTGCTGGTAAGAAAACTCGAGTGACCACGTTTCACCCACAGCTTTGGTGATCCGGAACCAGTTGTTGGTTGGTGTTGCCCTCGTGTGGGATCGGAAATAATACGCGTCACGGTTCTTGTCGGTGACAAGCATACGAACTGGGCGTTTCTGCAGTAACGACTGAACAAGAAACCGCACAAACTCTCCCTCACTGTCCAACTGAACCAAACGGTTCACAAGGCGAGAGTCTAACTCATTGACACGCACATCGGTTTCCGTGCCATCTGGTTTGGTAGCAAAGCGAACAAAAGTGGCAGACTTATCAGCTTCATGATACCCCATACGACAGGTGTCACTAATGCCGTACCAGTAAACACCATTTTCATGCTTCAGTAAAGGTAAAGGCTGCGCTGCCCCAGGCTGTAATACCATCATGGACATCATTTTCATGCACTGTCATTGAAGCCTACAAGTAGTATTAAGGGTGTCATTGTGGATACCTAAGTGTACTTAAGCATACAGTTTCTCGTAGACTTCTGTCACATACCTTTTGCTACATCTGGATTGGTCCGTACCCGGTGATTCGGTACAGCTGCCGCCCCCGTAATAGTGAAGACATGTTTTGAAACATTTTATTAAACATGACATCGGGAATTAAGACAGGCTGACCAGAGTTTTGTAATATTAAGTTTATTTGAACGTAAATTTCAAAGCTCCACAGCGCTAGGCAAAGTACGGAGACTATGCTATAAAATATCAGGTCGCGTTTATCCATTGTGCGTCGAGTTATCAGTCAGCATCATCGTGTTTAGAAAAGCTTGGGTAACATCCTTGGAAGCCTTAATGTCAATTTCAGTAATATTTCTGGCCCCCGCCCACGTTGAATATATTTGCAACGTATAAAAACTTAACAGCAAGCCAAACATAATCACCCAAAAAATGGCGCTTATGACCTGCTTTTTATTAATGCTTGATAAGTCCATTTATAAAATTTCGATCTCTCACTCTAGTTCCCAAACTAAAAAACTTGTTAACGAATTTGCAAACAAATTTGTCGTTCATTCCTTTATGTTTGGTTAAGGCTGACATCACGTCGACGTACGAAAATCCATAGCTTCGTAATGTAACAAAGAACATACAATACTGTCCACATACAGTACTATCCTCGTTCTGTCGTTCTGTATTAGACATTGTAACAAAATCGTCTCCCATCCACTGTTTTATATGCGTTGAATATATGGCTGGGTTTTGTCCGTACGAGTCGAAAGCCTCAATCAGTCCTGGTGATATACAATAAAAAGCAACCCAGTGTTGCCCCGGCTTTCCTTCAGGCTCAGTATTTACAACATATGCACCGGGAAACTCCTTTTCAGGGATTTTGTCTGCTGAAAATACGCCAACAAAAACTTCGCGAATCTTAGGATCCTGACGCAGTGCGTTCTCAATTTGAAAGTTGTTCATGGTGCAAAATCGAAAATTACTTGACGGTTATTGTTTATTTCAATAACGTTGTCGTATATAAGCATTGCAATGCAAACCACGTTTTCTTCAAGTCCTTTCGCAAATTTCAAGTGTATATTTAAATTTCCATGCCGAGACAGTGACAATGCTCCTCGCCCTGTATGTCCACGTGTAAAATCAAATCCGTATAGACAGAAACCTCCCTTGTTGTAGTTTTCTCGATCAAATGGCAGCTCGCCTGCTCCTTCATTAAGACGTTCTAAGGTATCCAACAAGCCCTCGTATCCCTGAATTGAGCTTCCCTTCTCATAGTTTAAATTGTACCCTTGCGTGGGAAACAGTTGACCGTCAATTTCTGCTACTAAACTAGTTAAGTTGCAATGAATGAAATTGAACGGTGATGAGATTACTTCTCCGGCAAACGAACGACTGGGCACCATTCCAAATATCATTACTTTTGGAAGCTGACCAATCACAATATTAGACCAGACCGCTTGCTGCTGGCCTAACATTAACGTGTGTTCACGCATTACCACACGCTCAATGTGGTATTTCGCTGTCGTACTGAGTAATTGCTTACTCATCGCAGTCAAAAAGTCGGGCGAAGGTTCGTATTTACGTATTTTTAATCGGGGATTTCTAATTGCAACTGTTTTGGGTCCATTATTTTCGCCGTCTGCTATAAATGCCAATGCGTTTCTATTCCGCACAAGCTTTATGCTTAATTCTATCCCCGGAATTAGCGGCTTATCTTGCTGGAAAAG